GCATTGTGGTAAATTGTAGTCAATGTCATGAGACAAAGTGTATGTGAACTCCTGTATGGAAAGTGAATTTGCTCTGTAAACTTTCACCCAAATCATAATTAAAAAAATAAAATAAAAACAAAACTACTGGATAATAGAAGTAACAAACTGAAAAATAAACTCCTAGACACAAATGAGAAAGAAAATACAACTTACAAAAACCAGTACTCAGAGGTCAATTTATAGCAATAAAAGCACACATCAAAAAAGAAGAAAGAATCAGAACCAACACTTCAGCTCAAAAAGTTCAACAATTACAAAAAGAGCAACAAAAGAAACCTACAGTATCCAGAAGGAAGGAAGTAATAAAGATCAGAGCAGGAATAAATGAAGCAAAAAACAATAGAAAGTCAACAAGACAAAATGCTAGTTCTTCTAAAAGATTAACAAAATTGACAAACCACTGGCAAATTTAACAATAGAAAAGAAAAGGAAGATGCAAATAATACTAATAATAAATGAAAAGGGTGACATCACAACAGAACCAACTGAAATTAAAAAGATAGAATATTATGAAGAACTGTACTCCAACAGATTTGAGAACCTGGAAGAGATGGACAAATTTCTAGATACACAAGACCTACCTAAACCAACTCAGTCTAAGACAGAATACTTGAGCAGACCTGTAACAAAAGAGCTCTGGGAGCATAGTGCCTAAGGCACTTGACTGCTAACCAGAAGGCTGGCAGTTCAAACCCACCAGCCACTCCTCAGAAGGAAGGTTGGGCAATCCTACTTCCGTAGTGATACTGCCTAGGAAACCCAAGGAGGGGTCGCTATGAGTTGGGGCCGACTTGACAGCATGTAACAACAACAACAATAACAAAAGAACAATTTGAGCAGGTCATAAAAAAAACTCTCCACAAAAAAAGTCCTGGCCCAGACGGCTTCACTGGAGAATTCTATCAAATATTCAGATAAGAGCTGACACAGGATTCAAACTATTCCAGAACACAGAAAATGATGGAATATTCCCAAATTCATTCTATGAAGCAAGCATAACACTGATACCAAAACCAGGAAAGACACTACTAAAAAGGAAAACTACAGACCAATATCCCTCATGAATATAGAAGCAAAAATCTCCAACAAAATCCTGGCCAATAGAATACAGCATCAAAAAAAAAAAAAGGAATATGGCTCAATGGAGAAAGACTCAAAGCATTCCCCTTGTGAATGGGAACCAGACAAGGATGCCTTCTATCACCACTTCTATTTAACATTGTATTGGAAGTCCTAGTTGGGGCAATAAGGCAAGAAAGAGAAATAAAACATATCTAAATTAGCAAAGAAAAGTAAAGCTATCTCTATTTCCAGATGACGTGATCTTATACATAGAAAAACCAAGAGACTTGGCAAGAAAATTACTGTAACTAATAGAAAGGTTCAGCAAAGTGGCAGGATAGAAGGTCAACATACAAAAATCAGTTGGATTCCTCTACATCAACAAAGACTTCTGAAAAAGAAATAAGGAAAACAATAACATTTACGATAGCTACCAAAAGGATAAAATACTTAGGAATAAATCTCACCAGGGACACAAAAGACCTATATAAATAAAACTACAAAACGATACTACAAGAAACTATAAAAAATCTACAAAAATGGAAGAACATACCATGTTCATGGATAGGAAGACTGACTGTTGTCAAAATGTCAGTACTACCCAAAGTAATCGATACATTCAATGCAATCTCGATCCAGGTTCCATTAGCATTCTTTAAGGACATGAAAAAAATAGTCATTAACTTTATGTGTAAAGGACAGAGACCTCTGATAAGCAAAGTACTGCTGAAAAAGAAAATCAAAGTAGGAGGTCTCACACTCCCTGATCTCAAGACCTACTATACAGCCACAATAGTCCAAACAGTGTGATATTAGTACAATGATAGACAAATAGACCAATGGAACAGAATCAAAAACCCAGAAATAGAGCCATCCACCTATGGACAGCTGATCTTTGACAAAGAGCCAAAATCCATTAAATGAGGGAGAAATAGCCTCTTTAACAAACGATGCTGGCAAAATTGGATATCCACCTGCAAAAAAAATGAAACAAGACCCATACCTCACCTCATACACAAAAACGAACTCAAGTTGGATCAAAGACTTAAATGTAAAACCCAAAACCATAAAGTTCATCAAAGATAAAATAGGGGCAAATCTAGGGGCCCTAATTTATGGCATAAATAGACTATCAAGCATAACCCAAAATGCACAAGCAGCAGAAGAGAAACTAGATGATTGAGACCTTTTTAAAATTAAATTTTTATGTGCACTGAAAGATTCTCCAAAAGGGTAATAAAAATAACCTACAGATTGGAAAAAATACTTGGCTATGACATATCTGATAAGGTACTTCTCTCTAAAATTTACAGAAAATTTTAACACCTCAACAACAAAAACAGAAACAATCCAATTCAAAAATGGGCAAAGGACATGAACAGACACTTCACTAAAGAAGATATACAGTCAACCAACAAACACATGAGGAAATGCTTACAATCATTAGCCATTAGAAAGATGCAAATCAAACCAATGAGATATCATCTCCTGCCAGCAATAATAGCAAAGTTCAACAAGACAAAAAATAACAAACGCTGGCAAGGGGTGGAGAGATTGGAACTCTCATACATTGCTGGTGGGAGTGTACAATGGTACAGCCATTGTAGAAAATGGTCTGGCATTTCCTTAAAATATTGAAAACAGAAATACCATTTAATCCAGTAATTCCATTACTAGGAATATATTCTAAAGTGGTAAGATCCAGCACACGAATAGACATATGCACATATGTTCACTGCAGCACAATTCACTATAGCAAAGAGATGAAAACAACCTAAGTACTCATCAACAAATGAATGGATAACCAAACTATGGTACATTCACACAATGGAATACTATGCCATGTTAAAGAATAATGAAAAATACATAAATCACCTCATAATGTGGATCATTTTGGAGGACATTATGCTATGTGAAATAAGTCAATCACAGAAGGACAGATATTGTATGAGCCCATTATTGTAAAAATTCAAGGAAACATTTATACAGAGAAGGAAATTCACTTTGTTAGTTACTGGGGATGGGAGGGAAGGGGAGGGAAAACTTCTGACTAGTTGGGGTCATGTGTTAATTTGGGTAAGGGAGGGGTGGTATAGCAAGAGTGTGTGACCAGTACAGTGACAATTTAGAAAGGGAGAACACAGAAACATGCACAAAAGATAGAGACAACAGAGGCAAATACTATTACATGCACAATACTGCATTACCAGTGGCACCAAACACTAGGCTATGGGTGAATGCACAGACAGGTCAGAAGTACAGGTAGGTGAATAGGAATATACCCAAGACCAAGGGTAGATTTGGCTGAAGCTAGTCTTACATATGTACTTTTGCTACAAAATTATCCACATATATTAGAGAAGTAACAGAGGACAAGGTTGGAGTAGCTTCTCAGAGACAACCAAACACTGTGAGGGAGAGAATCACCGGGCCTGCAGGCTCAGGACCACAGTCTTGGGGGACAGTGTGCTCAATTGGCACAACATAGTACATAAAAATCTTGTTCTACATTCTACTTTGGTGAGTAGGGACTGGAGTCTTAAAAGCTTTGGAGTGGCCATCTATGTAACTATTGGTCTCCTCTCATCTGAAGAGCTTTTTATGGTTGGGGATTGTAATCAGGGCTGTGAAACCAAATGTGCATGAACTGTTGAAAGTAAAACAAATCTGTTTGTAAATGTGCACCCAAATCACAATAAAAAAGAAAACAGAAGATGGATAGGAAAGACGGATGAATGCAAATGGTAAACAGACAGGAAATGGGAAGAGTGCTGTTATACTGGGGCGTTACAATCAATGTCATGAATCAAAATTTGTATGAATTACTGAATGGAAAACTAATTTGCTCTGTAAACTTTCACCCAAATCACAACTTAAAAATTAAAAAAAAAAAGAATGAGTGACACAGTAGCTGCAACAATAAGGTCAAACATGGCAACAATTGTGAGGAGGGTGCAGGACCAGGCAATGTTTTGTTCTAGGTACATAGCATCACTATGAGCCAGAAGTGACTCAACAACAACTAACAGTAAGTTTCAGGTACTAAACTTGTTCCAGGTATCACAGAGTGAGGAGTAGAGATGAATTTCAGTCTGATTTAGAAACTGACGCTCTTTTCTACAAGATGATTTCCACTCAAGAACATCACGTTTGGAATCTTCAGGTTGATTCACGGTCCACAGTTCTGGGATAATGCTTCATAAAAGTTCATCCTCTGTGTTGCTTTCAAATCCCAAACATTAAAACATAAAAAAAAAATCACAACAATAATACTATGCTCATTTTAGTCCGTATTTTTCCATACTCAAATACCATTAACAAATTATTTCTGAGCTATACATTAGTAAAGAAGCCCTGGTGGTATAGTGGTTAAAGTGCTCGGCTGAGAAATGAAAGGTCGGAAGTTTGAACCCACCAGCTGTTGTGTGTGAAAAAGATGTGGCAGTCTGCTCCTATAAAGATCACAGCCTTGGAAACCCTATGGTGTAGTTCTGTTCCGTCCTATGGGGTCATTATGAGTTGGAATAATCTCAACAACAGGTTTGTTTTTTCTTTAATTTTATACATGAGCAAATAACGTGGTAGTCAGATTCTAGGAATCTATAATTATCAGCTCTTCCCTTACCTGACCTGTAATTGCTCCGCATACAGAAAAGCCGGAAGACATCAGGTGAAAACTTCTTCAGAAATTCCTAATGAAGTAAGAAATAAAGTACTTTTATAACCCTTTTCTTTTAAATTTTGCATCACTCAGAGATAATGTTTATACAGTTTACTAAAATTACGTGAGTTGATATATATATGTCAAGAGATCAGAAATTTTTATGAAAAGCTTTGTTTTGTTTCCAAACCCTATTACTACTTTTCCTGGCAGTTTTCCCCACTCAATTTTTTTTCGTGTGTGAGTAAAATAATAACAAAATATACACCAATTCAATAATTTCTATAAGTATAATTTGGAGACACTGGTTACATTCTTCAAGTTGTGCTGCCTTTCTCAATCTTTTCCAAACTATTTCACTACCATTAACACAAACTCACTGCCCCCTTAAACTTTTCATCTATCCTTTCAAGTTGCTATGTCAGTCTGATCACATAAAGATAATTATTTAGGAGAGTATAATGCTTAGCACAAACATTCTTTTCTAATTAGGCTAAACTACTATTTGGTTCAAAGATGATTTCAGGGGATGTTTCAGTTCAGAGTTTAAAAGTTTCCTTAGAGTAATAGTTTTGGAGGGGTCATCCAGCCTAAATGGCTCCAGAAAGTCTAGATTTTTGAGAATCTGAAATTCTAGCCCTCATTTTAAGGAGCTTTGGTGGTGTAGTGGTTAAGGCATTTGGTTGCTAACCAAAAGGTCAGTAGTTTGAGTCCACTGGCCACTCTGTGGAAGAAAGATGAGGCGGTCTGCTTCCATAAATATTTACAACCTTAGAAACCCAATGGGTCAAAATCGACTCAATGGTACTGAGAGTTTGAGTCCTCATATTTCCCTTTTTGATTAAGATTCTTCTATAGAATAGTCCACGTGTATAGCCTCCGTTTGTGTCATGAATCAAAATTTGTATGAATTACTGAATGCAGAAGAGCAGTCAGCCCCAGGCTTACAGGTGAGGAGAGACAACTCAGGGACGCCTGAAGTAGCAAGCGGGAAGATCAGGAAAAAGGGGTTTAAAAGCCAGGAAGCCAGAGAGAAGAGCAGTCAGCCAAAGGGATCAGGTGAGGAGAGGCAACTCAGGCCCACCCAGAGTGGCAGACCGGAAGAGCAGGAGGAAGGGGATAAAAAGCCAGGAACCCGGACAGAAGAGCAGTCAGCCCCAGGCTTACA